AGTTTTTGGCTGGGGCTGGGGTTGAACCCGCCACCTCCAGCATATGGGACCAGTGCCCTACTCCCTTGAGCCACAGGCGCCATCCCAAAATGGGAGATTTTCAATGGCATATGAGGTTCATATTTTCATGGCTTGTAGCTTTACTTATTGTAGACTGCAGGAACATTTAACTAGCCCAAACTTGCAAGGTATCTTAAATATGTATTAGGCCTTGATCTCAAAATGTATTGGGCTAAATCCAGTTTAGGATCCCGCATTGGGTCTTGGATGCTGATTTCTGGCCCTTTCCACTTAGTTCCAAATATACTTCCTACTATCTGTACCCTACACTCTGTACCCCTCACTCCCCACTCACGCTCCTGCTCCAACCCTATAGACCAGCGACATTTTTACTTTTTCACTTTAAAAAAGTTGTTGTTATTATTGTTATTATTATTTTTAGAGACAGAGTCTCACTTTATTGCCCTTGGTAGAGTGCTGTGGTGTCACAGCTCACAGCAACCTCCAACTCCTGGGTTTAGGCAATTCTCTTGCCTCAGCCTCCCGAGTAGCTACAACTACAGGCATCCACCACAACGGCTGTTTTGTTGTTGTTGCAGTTTGTCTGGGGCCGGGTTAGAACCCGCCATCCTTGGTATATGGGGCACACTACCCACTGAGCCACAGGTGCCACCCCCCCAAATTGTTATTATTATCATTCACATGAGCAATCTTTGCAAAACTGCTGCCCTTTTCTGATCCAACAGTCGGCAAAGGTGCTGGCCTGTCAGGAGGTTCCTTCTTAGCTAAAAACTCCTATTCACTCTTTAAAACCCCAATTGAGTGTCTCCTCTTCCTGGAAGCTCTGTCTTACCCCATCCCCTATGCAGAGCTATGGCTCCTACTCTGGGCTTTCCCAGCCATAGCCTCTGGAAGCTTCTGAAGGTAGAATCAGGGGTTGAGGCTTCTCCAAGTTATCAGCGGTATTCAACCTAGGGGCAGACACCTGTACATACAGGCAGGATGGAGAAGGGTGGGTGGGATACTCACAAGGACATGTGCAGGATCTCATTGGTCTCGGGCTTCCAGACCCCTCGGAGTAGCTGCTCAAAGTTGGACATGAGGGCAACGCCAGAACCTACAGGACAGGGTGCTTCTGAACAAGCCTGTTAACCCTTGACCCACTTTTCTGCCTAATGGTTTTTAGCACTTGTTCAGGCCTTCATTCCCTGCATTCATGTTAGTCCTTGGTCTTTTTTTTGAGACAGTCTTGCTGTGGCCCTGGGTAGAGTGTTGTGATATCATCATAGCTCATAGCAACCTCAAGTTCTTGGGCTCCAGCAATCCTCTTGCCTTAGCCTCCTATTATTTTTAGTAGAGGCAGGGTCTCAAACTTGTGAGCTCAAGCAGTCCACCTGCCTCAGCCTCCCAGAGTGCTAGGATTATAGGCATGAGCAACTGTACCTAGCCAGGTCTACTTTACAAATAATTAATTGCCTTTCTCCCTTAACTTTTGCTTTATGTATTTTAGAGCTCTGTTTCTAAGGGTTTATATGTTTACAGTTGTTGTACCTTCCTGGTAGATTGATCCTTTTATTACTATAAAATGTCCCTCTTTATTTCTAGTAATATTTGTTTTGTTTTAAAGTCTACTTTGTTCTGCCTGTTAGCATACATGGATAGAGGGAAAAGGACTTCAAAATGGGCAAAAGCATGGACATTCGAATCAGAAGATCTGAAGCCAAAACCAGCTGTATCCCTTTGCTGTGTGACCTTGGGCAAGACATTTTACTTCCTTTATCAGGAAAAGAGAATGATGCTGGATCCCTCCTAAATAGAGTCTTAAGGATCAAAGACCTCAACTCAAAACCTGCCCTGAATCAGGGGTCTTAACCTGGGGTTCACAAAGCTAGACAGGAAAAATAATTACAACTTCATTTTCCCATCCCTCCCACTGAAACTCAGCCTTTCCTTCCATCATGAATGGCAGCAATGTCAGTAGTATTTTTTTTTTTTTTTTTTTTGCTGAAAAATTCTCACCCTGGGTAGAGTGCCATGACATCATAGCTTACAGCAACCTCCAACTCTTGGACTCAAGTGATCCTCTTGTCTCAGTTTTCCTATTTTTAGTAGATATGGGGTCTCACTTTTGCTCAGGCTGGTCTTGAACTTGTGAACTCAAGCAATCCACTTGCCTCAGCCTGCCAGTGTTAGGATTACAGATATGAGCCACTGTGCCCAGCACTCTCGGTAGGATTTTTGAGGTTGTCATGGTTACCAACAGAACCCACAGTTTTGTTTTTTTTTTTTTTTTAACATTCCAGTTGGTTTGTTAAACCAACTGGCTACAGATTCTGTTGGTGCTGGATGTTACTTCAAAAGATTGATAGTTACTAGGTGCTACTGAAAGGTCTTCAGATGGTTAAACCATCTGGCTACAGATGGTTTCGAGATTCTGTTGGTGCTGGATGTTACTTCAAAAGATTGATAGTTACTAGGTGCTACTGAAAGGTCTTCTATATAAAGGACTAATAAAGAAGCATGACATTATTATATTGTATTTTTAAAATATTTTGATAACTATTTTAAAATAATGGGCTTCTCTTTGTTATCATCTATATTTTTGCATTTAAAACCAAAAGGTTCATAGGCTTCACTAGGCTAAAACAAAGGCCTCATCAACAAAGGTTAAGAACCCTTTGTAGTTAGCGCTCTACTGAAGAGGTGCTCACCTGAAACAATTTTGCTCTCAAGGAGGCATTTGGCAATGTCTGGAGACAATTTTGGTTGTCACAGCTGGGGGACAAGGGTGTTACTGGCTGGCATTTTGTGGGCAGAGGCCTGGGATGCTCCTCAATACCCTACAATGCACAGGACAGTCTCCACTAGAGAATAATCCAGCCCAAAATGTCAGTAGCACTGCAGGTGACAAACCCTCTTCCAGTGACATTGGCTTTTGTTATTTTCATTGTCTCTGTTTACCTATTGACAGTCACATTTGCAGAAGAATCTTCCCGTTTACATCAAAGGCTTTCTTTTGTTTTGAGACAGGGTCTTGCTCTGTCACCCAGAGCTTGAGTGCAGTAGTGTCACCATAGCTCACTGGAACCTCAAATTCCTGGGCTGCAAGTGATCCCCGTCTCAGTCTCCCAAGTACCTGGGACTATAGACACACACTACCATACTGGCTAATTTTTCTATTTTTTGTAGAGATGAGGTCTGGCTATGTTGTGCAGGCTAGCTTCAACTACTAGATTCAAGTGATCCTCCTGGCTTTGCTGCCCAAGGTGGTAGGATTACAGGTGTGAGCCACCAAGCCCAGCCTACTAAGGTATCTTGTAATGGGGGAGATTTGCATACCCACTCCAGTCGGAGCATGGCTGTCCCAATTTGGGCGACTGATGGTAGCACTGAATCAAAGGTTCTCAACTGCAGTGATTTTTCATTGTCGTTGTTGTCACCATCCTATTTACCTTTGACCCACCCAGTTGCAATCATGACGAACCACCCATGGTGGTAGTGGTGATGTGCGTGGTGGATACCCACTGCGATCTTGCGGACTCTCACTACCTCCTTCATGGCCACGAAGATAAGTTTGACAGGCAGGAAGCAGACACACTTGTAGAATAGGTCCAGGGGACAGAAGAAAATCAAGTACCTTTAGGGGAGAGAATGTTGAATGTTGGGGAAGGGGCGGGCCACCAGGAAGTGGGGTATGTGGTTGGGTCAGACCCTCCCCTCTGACCCACAACATGCAGGACCCAGATCACAGCTGGGCATTGAGGACAGTGTGTACAAGACCACCACAGAGGTTGTGCTGGTGTATCCTGGCTTCTCCATCCTCCAACCTCCCATCTCCGTGGTGCCCAAGAGTTGTCCCTGCTCCCCTCTTGACCCTGCTCTCCTATATCCTGCATTGCTTACCAGACAGCAGAGGCCAATAGGATGCTGGAGTTGTTGCTGAAATAGTCGATCAGAGGCTCTCCGAGGAGCAGATCAGCCAGGATGTAACTCCCAAAACAGTGCAGCATAGCACATAGCCAGGACGCCAGGGGGTGGCGCCGGGACAGCTCGACTGCACCTGGGAGGTATGGGAGCATCCCCCACTGTCACCACAGTGCCAAGGGTGTGCTTTAACCCCATGCTCTCTGGTCAAGCTATCCCAATTCAGTGTCCACGCAAACCAGGCAGTTTGCAAATTTTAGAGGAAGAACCAAGGTTCAGAGAGGCTGCACACATGCCTCAGATTCCACAGAGAAAATACAGAGCTGAGATGGGGCTTTTTCCTCCACACCCTGAAAAGTGGTGATAACAATGACATTGGCTCACATTCAGGACTCCTTAAATCCCCATCAATAGCCTCAGTCAAGTGATGACTTTTATTATTGCAGGAATGTTACTGCCAGGAAAAGGCTGAGGCTTGGAGAGTTGGCGCAACTGGAGACACTTTAAAACTGCTACTGATGCCCTGGCTAATTAATACCCAAGATCCCTACAAGCTTATGTTGAATCTTTATATTTAATTTAATTTTCTCTTTTGAGACAGGGTCTCACTCTGTCACCCAGACTAGATAGAGTGCAGTAGTATCATCACAGCTTGCTGCAACCTCAAACTCCTGGGCCCTAGTGATCCTTCTGCCTCAGCCTCCCAAGTAGCTGGGATTACAAGCAGGTGCCACCACACCTGGCTAATTTTTCTATTTTTTTTTTTTTTGCAGAAACAGAGTCTCCCTCTTGCTCAGGCTGATTCTGAACTGCTGAGCCAAGCAATCCTCCTGCTTCAGCTTCCCGGAGTGCTAGGATTATGGGTGTGAACCACGTTGCACTACCTATGCTCGCATTTTTCAAACACCACTCCCCACCCCCCGCCTTTTCTTTTTTTGAGTCTCAAGCTGTCGTCCTAGGTAGCATGCCGTGGAGTCTTATCTCACAGTAACCTCCAACTCTTGGGCTCAAGTGATCCTCAGTTTTTTTATTTTTAGTAAAGACAAAGTCTCACTTTTGCTCAGGCAGGTCTCAAATTCACGAACTCAAGTGATCAGCCCACCTCGACCTCCCAGAGTGCTTTAGGATTATAGGTGTCAGCCACTGTGCCTAGCCTAGACCCTATACTGTTTTGAGATTTTTTTGTTTTAATATATAAGAAGCTTTATTATTATTATTATATTTTTTGGCTGGGGCCAGGTTTGAACCCTCCACCTCTGGTATATGGAGCCAGCACCCTACTCCTTTGAGCCATAGGCACAGCCCTGTTTTGAGATTTTTTTTAAACAGAGTCTCATTATGTTTAAACTCCTGGGATCAACCAGTCCTCCCCCATCAGCCTCCCTAGTAGCTTGGACATAGGTGTGTGCCACTGCCCCAGGCTTTTTTTTTTTAAGACACTCTTACTCTGTTGCCCTGGGTAGAGTGCTGTGGCGTCATCATAGCTCACAATAACTTCAAACTCTTGGGCTCAAGCAATTCTCTTGCCTCTGCCTCCCAAACAGCTGGGACTACAGGTGCCTGGTAGGAAATCCAGCTAGTTTTTCTATTTTTAGTAGAGACAGGTCTCAATTTTGCTCAGGCTGGTCTCGAACTCTTGAGCTAAAGTGATTCTCCTGCCATGGCTTCTCAGAGTGCTAGGATTACAGGCATGTGCCACTGCAACTGGCCAGCCAGGATTTCTTTTTTTCTTTTTTTTTTTTTTTGAGACAGAACCTCAAGCTATCCCCCTGGGTAGAGTGCCCTGGCATTACAGCTCACAGCAACCTCCAACTCCTGGGCTCAAGCGCATCTCCTGCCTCTGCCTCCCAAGTAGCTGGGACCACAAGCGCCCACCACAACGCCTGGCTATTTTTTGGTTGCAGCTGTCATTGTTGTTTTGGCGGGCTTGGGCTGGATTCGAACTCACCACCTTAGGTGTATGTGGCTGGCGCCTTAGCCACTTGAGCCACAGGTGCCAAGCCTCTTTTTTTTTTTTTTTTTGCAGGTTTTGGCTGGGGCTGGGTGTGAACCTGCCACTTCTGGCATGTGGAGCTGTGCCTTACTCCTTTGAGCCACTGGTGCTACCCCAGGATTTCTTTTAAAAAAATTTTTTTGAGGGCTCAGCACCTGTAGCACAGTGGTTATGGCACCAGCTATGCACACCAAGGCTGGCAGGTTCGAGCCCAACACAGACCAGCAAAACAATGACAACTGCGAGAAAAAATGGCTGGGCGTTGTGGCAGGTGCCTGTAGTCCCAACTACTTGGGAGGCTGAGGCAAGAAAATCTCTTAAGCCCATGAGTTTGAGGTTGCTGTGATGCCACAGCACTCTACTGAGGGCAATATAGTAAGACTCTGTCTAAAAAAAAAAAGATGATGTGGCTCATGCTTGTAATACTAGCATCCCTGGAGGCCTAGGCAGGTGGATTGCCTGAGCTCACAGAGTCAAGAAAAGCCTGAGCAAGAACGAGACCCCGTCTCTAAAAATAGCCAGTCGTGTGGCAGGCACCTGTAGTCCCCGCTACTTAGGAGGCTGAGGCAAGAGAAAATTGCTTGAGCCCAAGAGTTTGAGGTTGCTGTGAACTGTGACACTACGGCACTCTACCGAGGGTGACCAAGTGAGACTGTCTCAAAAAAATTTTTTTAAATTATGTAAAAGATACATAAAATATACCATTTTTGTACAGTTCTATGGCATTAAGAACATTCAGATTGTTGTGCAACTATCACCACTACCCATCTCCAGCACTGTTTCATCTTCTCAAACTGAGACTCTGTCCCTGTTAAACACTAACCACTCCCTAACCCCTCTCCCTTAGGCCCTGCCAACCACCATTCTACTTCCTGTATTTATGAATTTAATGACTCCAGGAACCTCATATAAGTGGAATAATACTGTATTTGTTTTGTGATTGACTTATTTCATTTAGAACTCATGTCCTCAAGGTTCATCTCCATTGTAGCATGTATTAAGATTCCACTTCATGGTTGGGTGTGCTGGTTCACACCTGTAATTCTAGCACTTTGGGAGGCCAAGATGGGAGGATCACTTGAGCTCAGAGTGAAACCTTATCACTACAAAAAATACAAAAATTGGCTTGGCATGGTGACACATACTTGTCGTCTCAGATATTCAATAGGCTGACATAGAAGGATCACTTGTACCTAGGAATTTGAGGTTACTGTGAGCTATCGTGACACATTGCACTGTGGCCCAAAAGAGCAAAAAAAAAAAAAAAAAAAAGATTTCTTTTCAAGGTGGAATATTTCACTGCATGGATATGACACATTTTGACACTTGCATTGTTTCTACCTTTTGGCTATTGTGAACATATGTGTACACATTTGGCTGCTATGAACACAGGTGTACAAATATCTTCGATTCTCTGCTTTCAATTCCTTTGGGTATATACTAAGAAATAGGATTGCTAGATTACATGGTAATTAATTCTATGTTTAATTTTGTTTGGAACCACCAATTGTTTTCCACAGAGCCTACACCATTTTACATTCACCTGCAGTGCACAGGGTTCTAATATCTCCACATCTACACCAACACTTCTTTGTTTTCTGGGTTTTATTGTTGTTGCTGCTAACAGCCATCAAGGAAACTATGAAGTGGTTTCTCATGATGGTTTGGACCTGCATTTCCCTAATGATTAGTGATGTGGAGCATCTTTTTTATTTTTTTGAGACAGAGCCTCAAGCTATTGCCCTGGGTAGAGTGCTGTTGCATCACAGCTCACAGCAACCTCCAACTCCTGGGCTCAAGTGATTCTCCTGCCTCCGCCTCCCAGGTAGCTGGGACTACAGGCACCCACCACAACGCCCGACTATTTTTTTTTGTTGTTGCAGCCGTTATTGTTGTTTGGTGGGCCCAGGCTAGATTTGAACCCACCACCTTAGGTGTATGTGGCTGGCGCCTTAGCTGCTTGAGCCACAGGCACTGAGCCTGGAGCATCTTTTCATGTGCTCATTGGTCATTTGTCTATCTTCTTTGGAGACATGTCTAGTCAAGCTTCTTTAAAATTTTTATTATTTAATGGCTGGTCACAGTGGCTCACACTTATAATCCTAGTACTCAGGAAGGCTGAGGTGGGAGAATGACTTGAGCTCAGGAGTTCAGACCACCCTGAGCAATGCAAGACCTCATCTCTGCTAAAAATAGAAAAATAGCCAAGCGTGGTAGTGGATGCCTATAATCCCAGCTACTCGGGAGGCTGAGGCAGGACTGCTTGAGTCCAGGAGTGTGAGGTTGCTGTAAGTCAGGCTGAGGCCATGGCACTCTAACCCGGGTGACAGACTGAGACTCTATCAGCAAAGAAAAGATGTACTATTATTGTCTTTATACACAGGGTCTCACTCTTTTGCCCAATCATAGGTCACTATAGCCTTGAACTCCAATACTCAAGCAATTCTCCTAATTCCTGCCTATAGGCGCATGATACCGCAACTGGCAACTAAAAATTTTTTTTGTAAATACAGAGTGTTGCTAAGTTGGGTGGTCTTGAACTTTTGGCCTCAAATGATCCTCTTGCCTTGGCTTCCCAAAATCTATATTTTTAAAAACTGGGTTGTGTTTCTGTTGTTGTGTTATGATCTCTGCCTATGAAAAATGTTTCTTTGCTAGGAAAGGGTTTTACTTTACCCTAGGTGGGAAGGCAGAGCAGAAAAGAAAAGGTGAACACAGGAGAGTACCCTAGCCTTCTCTCTCTGGGGGAGTGCCACGGAGGCAGACAGAAGACACCAGGCATTGGTACCAGTGGGGAAATCAGAGAATGCTTATGTGGAGGGGTCCTTGAAGGTAGAATTAAATAAATAGGAACACAGGGCAAGCACATAGTGAAGGCACTCCACACTTGGTGGCACAGAAAGACCAAGGCCATAGAAACAGAAAAGACCAAGCACAAATGCTGCTTCCTCCAGGGAGGGTTCCTTACTTTAGGGTGTTGGCCAGGTAGCCATCATTCCTGCCTGTGGACTCCCACACCCTGTGGACTCCATCCTTTCTCTGTGTAGGTCTTGCTATTTTATTCAATGTTAAAAAGTAGATTAGTGACTACTGAGAGCAGAAATTGGAGGGGTACTAACAGCTGAAGGTTTCTTTTTGGGGTG